TGTTCAGCATAAAAAACATTTAATTTGCTCAACTGGTGTGCACAAGAGCAGCACTTAGAGTCAGAGAGAGCATAAAATTGGTCTGAAATGATTAGCTTCACTGCATCTCTTTAGCCCGATGACCCATCCAGAACTACAGCATATCAAGAAGCCGAATTGAAGACAAAAACAACACACGCGCATTAGTCAAGTACTGACGCCCACATTTAGGATTTAGAAGCACTATATGAACATTTAATAAATGGTTTAGAATATACTGTTTATGTACAGTCTTAAAATACAAATGTGTTTTACTTTATGGTCATTCATTATATATTTACACACCAACACTGAGGAATTTTAATTATGGACATTAACAGACACTTAGATCTACTGACAACTACATTATAATGATTTATAGACCACGTATTAAATGCTTGTAGTTGCTACATAGAGTCAAGTGCATACCAACATGAATAAATGAAAATAAAAGTCCACATAGGCCTGCATACACAAAGAGCATGATATGATTTTTGGTTTAAATTAAAAAACATGGGTGGAAGGTTAAAGGAAAGTCTTGAAGAAATGAATGAAAATTTTAAAAACAAAATGCAGGAGTCATTTATTAACCTGCAGACTGTTTTCTTGATCATTTGATTCATCTTTTTAATCACAGAATGTCAAAAACTGGGGGAAACACCCATTTTGACTTTCCAGAATTAAAGGTGGCATCTTCAAATGTCTTGTTTTGTTCAACAAACAAACCAGAGATATTCATTTTACACCATGTATGACCAAAAGAAAAAGTTGGTCATTTCTGCTTCAAAATAGTTTCCGGTTAATTTTCTATAAATCAACTGACTAATGGTTGCAGCACTAGGTTAGTGAATGGCTTAATGAGGGTGAAAAAGTGGGTTGAACAAAATGAGGGAATATGTTTAGAATAATAAGCACTGGTGCTACTCTGGAGACACTTTACTAAACGTCGATGATGTTCACTTTATTTTAGTTTTTCCTTTAATTATCACTTCTCTGTAAATACAGTACACACTGTACTTAAACAGGTTGCTGTAGCCTGCCCTACCAGCACCCCCCCACACACACACCTGGTAGCCTCAGGGGTCGTGGTGTATAAATATAACACTGTTGGCATTGATGTGTTGTCATAGTAACAACGGCGACAATTTCTTCTATAGAAACTCATTACAACAAATTCTCGCACTCTTAAGAAAAGATCAAATCCTGCTCTCTGCCCTGGACCTGTCACCCCTCCCTCCTTGTTTTAGATGTCGTCTTGTCCCTTTTCTCGCATGCTCAGTTTTCCCACGACCTGCTGCGTCTGCTCTCCCTTGCCAGCATCGCCTTTCCCTCTCTACCTGCATCCTCACTCGTCCTCTGATGAGCAACAAAAATAAACCACTCTGAACACTCTGAAGAGTGTAGTGAGAGTGTGTTTGTGTGTGACAGGAGGGGAGAGTGTGTGTGGGAGCCATCATGAGAGCGTGTGTGTCAATGATGTGTGGAGGATGCAGTGTGTAGCAGTGGGCTTGGGACGATGTGTATCCACCCCACTGTTTTGTGTCTCTGTGTGTGCGTTAATGTTACACTAAGAGTTGTACTCTGTCTAAAATACTGATTGGATGATTCACCTAGCAAATGGGGCTCTGTGTATGTGTGTGTCTTTGTGAAAGTGTGTGTCTATTCACACATTCAATGGACCATACAGTTAAGAAAGTATGTGAGCTGGCAAATACAGAGAGACTGGACTGACACAGTGAGAATGAAAGAATGAACACCTGCTGGTTTTTGGAGTTATAGGGTAATTTGTAAGAATCTAGTGAGAATATAGGTTTCAACACACCACAAGTAAACACATTAGAAGAATTTAAAAAAAAGAATGCAGTTTTGATTTTGAGGAGCATTTTGAGAACTTTCTAATTCACCATCTTGATTTTTTTTTTTAATCATCTAACAGTCATTAAAGTGCAGAAGTACTCGGTATGTAACTGTGCAAATGAACACAGAATATTGTTGCAGGATGACTTAATAAAATGCTATTTTATCAGCATATCATCCTGTTCCACTGAGGAACTCTGCAGTTTGTTTTTGCAATCACATGATCACATCTTACCATGTAACTTGACTGAGGTGCTTTCGAAAACGTTACATGCTGTTCATCTTTTGTACAAACACGCTGACTTTACTCCTCATCCACTTTAACAAGCTCACCTGTGCTGCTGGCATTATTTCTGTGAGTAAAATATTATTATACCTGTTTGTTATTCAGAAAAGTAACATCATTATTGTTAATAAACTGCATCATCACCGACTCAGGGGAGCACCCACCGTGCAGCGACTTTACACACTATACTCTGCCCTTTGGCAACATAAAACATGTGGAAACCCCTGTCCTATGAGAAAAGTAACATGATATTTTTAAGTCCTATTTCTTTCTTTCTTGACCTTATAAAAAAATCAGCAAAAGCCACCATACCACACTTGATTAGCATATTTAATTTGAGATTACAGTTAGCTGTAGAGTGATTAAAAATCATATTTTTGTACTTTAATTGCCTCCAATCATTTATAGCAGCATTAAAGTGATAGTATGGAAAAAGATAAGTGGTATCTAAATTCAAATTAAAATAAGTTCACCAATTTGATAAAGTTCCTCAGACTTTTGGTTATTCCTTGGAGGACAGAAGGACAAAGGCAGGAAATGAGACAGACAATAAGCGAGACAACCACAGAGAAAGAAATAGTTTGAGGAGGGAAGGCCACCTGTGAAGTCGGCAGCTTAAACACTGACACTAACAGATGGACGGTAGATAGCAATAAACACATGGCCTCGGGGAAGGAGAGACAGACAGAGAGGAAAAGAAAGTTAGTAGGATATAGAGAAAGGAAATGAAAGACAGAGACAGAAACAGAGTGGGAGGACATGGCACAGTAAAAGGTGGGACCTTCATTATGCAATGAGGACAGACAAGGGAATAACACACACAGAGCCTGTGTAGCTGTGAGGACGTTCACTGACGTAACCATTCCCTAGCTCCTCACCCTGTCCCTAAACTAAACCTCAATCTTAACTGTTAAACAGCCCTTGAGGTTGTGAGGAAAGGCCAAAATATCCTCACAACTATGGTTTCGGACAAACATTTGTCCACACAAACATGGACACACACATAATCACTACTGTGCTCTTGTTTGCACACCTACACACCCAAGGCACACAGAAGCACAGATGCAGGCTAATTCAGGGAAGACTGCCCACATTAGACAAACAGCAGAATTTCTCAGGCGAATGACAGCTTGCTCTCTAATCTGCTGACCTTTGAACAAGGCGAGGACAGCACCAAGGGGGAGGGAGAGCAAATGAGAGTGATAGAAAGTGAGGAGACGATATGTACTGACCATGATTCCTGTGAGCAGGCAGACTCCTTTGCCACAGTAGGTGTGAGGAACCATGTCTCCATAGCCGATGGACAAGAAAGTGATGGAGATAAGCCACATGGCTCCCAGGAAGTTACTGGTCACGTCCTGGGCATCATGATACCTAAAAGCAAACACCATCCGTGTTCAGAGGATAAAGTCAGTCGACAGTAAAGAACATAATAATAATGATAATAAACAATAACTGGCTCACTGGCCTGTCTGCAGACGTGGGTGTCAAAGATCAAACACGTCTTGCAATTTTGCCTGACAGAGGACATAACACATAACTGCAGCTCTTGCCTTCATCACTCCTGCCCTACACATAACACTGTTACCATAGCAACCAAATCAAATGCAGAACTGAAACAAACTATTCAACAAGAGAAAGACGTAAAACTTAGCCTTGGATGTTAGCAATGTGCTCTGAGGTCTTTATTCTCTAGCCTGAGGGGACCCACTCTCTAAATTCTCCAATTGCCCCTTGTTTGAAGCAGTTTAATTGAATTTGATATGTTTTTTCCCTTTGTTAATTTGGTTTGGACAGGAGAGGAAATGCCAGTTAAAGCTGGATGTGGACCAAACAACGGCTTCCCAGCAGCTGGGGAAAGATGCATTTAATGAAGCTTATTAACCAGATGACATTTTCCCATAGTTCCTTGATTATCTCCAAAAGCCTTTAAAAAAAGGAATGGTCACTTTTTACTTTCGACTTGATGGCCAGCTCACAAAATCTGATTCTGTACTAATAACTGTAACAGAAAAGTTTGATTTACAATTTGCACATATCTCCTCAGCAAGAGACAGGCAGATCTGTCAGTACTGCATCCATCTGCTGGATTAGGAAAATGTCTGATAAATTAGTCTAGCTGTAAAAAAGTAAATGACATATAAGGAGGAAAAACTGAGACAAAAAAATCCACTGCAAGATGTCAAAAAGACTGGAAGGAAATATATCTGTAGCTTTGTGGATAGACCAGTTTATTTTTACTGTCCCCAAAGAAATAGTTTGGCACATAAACACTGCAAAACCACAATTTGTTTGCACACTCCGGTTTTTCATCAGATTAAATAAACGAGGTCCAGCATAGCCAGTTAAGCTTTAGGGCTGATGGTAGGTGTTTTTTTTAACTTTGGACAGAGCCAAGCTAGCATTTTCAGTCTTTATGACAGACTTATGGCTGTAGCCTTGTATTTATTTGACAGGAACGGAAGGTCCATCTTCTCATCTCTCTCAACAAGAAACCAAATAAACCTATTATCTCCAAGGTCAAGAATGAACTTTCAGGATTGAAGTGTGCCTGTGAATGACTTGTGCACACAAACTTTTTAAATGCTTCATAACACATCTGCTCATGTGTTTGCTCCTATACCTTCTACTGCCCTGTGACAGTTGTTTTACACTGTGTTATCAATCATTCATCCGTTTATAGACCAGTTATGGATTTACTGTATAGCTGCTGACAAATGACAAAACAATACTGTCCTTATATCTACTTACATTATGGTGTCTAATAAACAAAACTGTTTTGTACACTGTTTATGAATGTTGATAACGACAATAATATTGATATTATGTTTTGTCAAACAACAAAGTGACAAACTAAGTGACAACTCCATAGCCTGGATCACGTTATGTGTACAACTGGTGAGAAAGCCTCATAAACTGAAGCCTAAAGATGGATTATGTTGCACACATGTCCCAGATTATATTTCCTGCCAACTGAATTTGATTGCTCAGTTCAATTCCTTGTTCAATCACAGTCCAAACTGTCTCATGCCCTCATCCCCCCACACACAGAAACGATCCATCTTTGTTACAGACCTCTCACATACTCTTACAGTCCAGGCAGCAATGATCCACAGAGAGATGCTGAAGACCAGCAGCACCGTCCCAGGGCAGATAGTCATGAGGGTTTTCATTACAAACCGCGTGTTAAAATGTACCTGAAATACACATACACACTATGGGTTAGTATGGCATAAACATCAGTTATCACCAGAGATGGAAAGTAACTAATTACACTCAAATACTGTACTTAGTATGGTACTTTACTTGACTATTTCATTTTTTGCTATTTTATAGGCAAATATTATACTTTTTACTCCACTGTATAATTAACCTTATTAATATTTGAAACTACCCAGCAGTATGTAAAGTACTTCTACTTAAGGAACATTTTAAATGCAGGACCTTTACTTGTAGCAGAGTATTTTTACACTGTGGTATTGGTACTTTTACTTATGTAAACAAATTGAGTACTTCTTCCACCTCTGATTATCACTCTGTACATTGTTTTCCATACAGACATGATGTTTTACTAACAAGTCTTCTGTGTAGCTGTTGATACCAAAAGAACCTCCACTGTAATTGGAGCTGAGATTGGGGCAGGTCCTCTGGCCACTCAGGTGAAGCTATACAGTGTGTTTAAGTAATTGGCTCATTTAAATGTGGTTTTTATCATCAGTAAACCTTCTGGCAGATGGATCATCTGAGACCAACTGTTTAGCCCTGGAAGGGTTAAGCAGCTGATAAATGAGTTGTCATGTCAGAGCTGCACTTCAGTGGCAGCTTCACCTCCTCTCCCCGTCACTGTAGCCTGAGGGTTAGAGTAGTGCCGTCGCAGATACACTTGAAACCTGCTAAATTACTCATCTAAAAGCTACTCCATCTCTCATGCTGTCCTCCTGTACACCCCCTCCAAGTTTGCATATTTCTACAACAAGCTACAACAAGCTACAGCTCTACTTTCCGGTTTTACTGTCATGTTTATCGTTTAAAGTCATCACAAACATGGGACCAACCTTTTATTGCAAGGCTTTTCCACACTCGTATTACATACTCATTCTAGTCTTTTCTTTTCATGCCCCAGTTGAGCGATATCAAATCTAATATCTCAATACCCCATTTCACACTCCCATCTCATATTGTATCATGAAAAATCCACCCACAGTTAAGTCTTTCAGTACAGGAATAAGAAAAGGACAGGAAGGAGAATTGAATTGGTAGATAAGAATAAAGGACAAAGCATAAGGAAGGACTTGAGGTACAGAAACAGAAGCTACAGATGAAAGAGACAACACAAGGCACTGATTTAGTTCAGAGAAAAGAGCTCTGGGGCTTACTACCTTTATAACTCCTTTAGCTTTTAGCAGCCAAATCTTCGACAGCCACACTCCTGAACACATTCAGTACAGACACACTCCTGGAAATACAAAACCCTTCTGACCTTATTTAGGGCACCTATACTCCTGGAGGAGGCGTCAGTGAAGAGTTTGCTGTGCAGGAGCATGACTCTGGCGATGAGGTAGAGGCGCAGGAACATGGGCACACTCAGCACCATGTCCAGGTCAGCCTCAGCCTGCGATGGCGCATACGAGAAGGCCAGACGTGCCCGCCACTGAAACTTAAAGTCCCCGGGCACCGGATGCACCGCAGACACCAGCAGCTCCAGAGCAATCAGCAGAACCCTCTCCATGGTCATGGCGATGCGCCAGTCGTCCGCTCCGTTGTCGATAACAAACAGCTGCACAGACAGGAAGAAAGATAAGAAAGGAGACGGGCTACACTTGTTTTAATGTGCTGCAGTGCAAACTTTTCACCACGAACCACTGGCAGAGTCCACTCATCAGTACAACTGACTGATCAGCAATTTAGAACAAATGTCTCTTTGCTGAGATGTGAAACACCATCCATCTAATCAGCAGTCTATTCAGTTTCCACACTGTGCTTGGCTCATTTTCATTTAAAGTACAATTCATCTCTTACTAAAATGAAACCAAAGTTGCCAAGTCATCTCAAGCAGCTATGCTTCAGTAAAACAGGTTGTTAACTATCACAATCACAACATTTTGCTAATAAAGATTATACTGGTGTTTCTGCCAGTCTCATGAGCATGTGCCTAACAGTTTTGCTTTAATTGCAGTTTTCCCTCCTTCACTGTTGATGTATTGCACTCTTAATTGCTGTGGTTACTCTTGATATTGTCACCAAAGCCGTTGTTAGGAGGAAGTGGTAAGAGCAGGTTTCATTAGAGGGGCCCCTCCTCCAGACAGTGCAGACAGGAATTGGAGGTGGAGGGGTTGATGAGAGGAGAAGGGGGTGGAAAGAGATGGATGAAGTGTAGAGGAAATGAACAGATAAAGATAGGACTGAGGAAAAAGGGGAAAAGAGAAATGCAAAAGAAAAAAAAAGTCACCCATGTCAGACTTTTGTATTCTGAATCATAAAAACACAGGGATCCACCACTATACACAACAATTATTTAACCAGTTTCTTGCACAAAGAATTCAATAGCTTTCTAGAAATGTTATAAATGAAACACAGAAATCAAGAGAAAAGTACACGACTGTACAGTATTCATGAGGTATGGTATACTGAATTGCACTGGAGACATATTGGAATCTCGTGGTTTAGCAATATAATGGCCTGTATTTTTGTCCATTTAGAAAAATATGATGCAGCTGTGAACAAAAAACGCCATTATAGCAGATTTCTGTGGATAAAAAAGGTCAAATAGAAAGAAGGAAGCTCACAAGACTGTAAAGAAAGGTCGCTATGCTGTAACTCAGCTGATTTTACTCGATGCTACTACCTCGAATAAAAAAGTGCTCATAGTCATTCTTTACCACATGATTCATTTCAAGGGGTTTTAGCCCACATAAACATTTATTTATGTAAATAAAACAAATACAACAAGTGGATAAATGTCACAATAAGTGAACATGAAAGCAACTGGACAGTGTCATGGTGCAAGCAGACTGAAGCTCTGCCACCTCCTCAACCACCTATTGATACACACACTGAATATTTCAAGAATATCTATATCTAGCTCAGCTGGATATAGGTGCTTTCCTTGTTCTTCTGTTGTAATGTGTGTGTACACATGTTGGATACATGTGTACACACACATCAGCAGCACACACCAGACTCATTGTGTAAGCAATTATTTGAACCAAGGGTCAAACGCTGGCTGTATTCTTTAATGATTTCAGTGAGAGTATGTGTGTGTACTGTACTTGTGTGTATTTGTGTATGCCTGACTGAGTTAGAGAGAGAGTGTGCAGACCCAGCCTCGTCATGGTGACTGTTGCCAAGACGACAACATCAAAGAGCAGCCAAGCTTAATTAGGAGCCCTAGTGAGAGAGAGAGAGAGGGGGGGGGGAGGTAGGGAGGGAGTGAGAGAGTCAAAAAGGGAGAAATGCAGTGAGAGGAAAGAAGAAAGAAAAAGGAGGTACGGGGAAAAAAGGCGTGTGTGTGACAGTGAGAGAAGACACACTGTACATAGAGGAAAGCAGAGACAGGGTGTCCAACGCTTATGTTCTCTGCAGAGACTTGCAAAGGCTTATATGTGTGTGAGTGGTGACAAAAATCTATTCACACTGTCACATTACGGGGAGTCACCTCCTGTTTGGTGACAAGAAGCTGGTTCCCTCAAGGTAAATCACTGAAATTCAGGGTTAAGGCACATTTTTCAGTATAAACTGGGGTTATAATTGGAATTCCATGTACAACTATGGTTCGGATTAGGCAAAATCTCCAGGGAATTAATCTAAGTGAATGCATGCAGAGAGTAGGGCACCAAACCTAATGCATATTCATACACATTTTCAGAGCATGGCTTTTTATCTGCAAATCATCTATGCTTTTCTTCAACTGCATTTGTGTGCAAGAGACAAAGCCACGCTATCCACACCATCATAGCCTTTCTTTCTGAATACCTCTCTGTTTTTCATCCTCCCAACATCCCTCACTGCCCCTCCTTCTCTCTGAATGACATTTCTCCAAATCAAAACAGAGGTGATCCAGTTCCTTGCCACTGGAGTATGTAGGCATTCCCCCCCCCCAACACACACACACACACACACACACACACACACACACACACATACACATACACTCCTGCTGCGGTCTTTTCCTGGCTAAATTGCCACAAGGTAGGGATAAATAATTAAATTTCATTAGGAAAGTCATCTGTCAATGGGAATGAGTGAGTGCCACTGCCCCTGCAGGACCAGCACAGAGGGAGGGAATGAAGAGAAAAACAGGGAGCAAGGTCAGAGAGCAGCAAAGCTAAATAAACATGGACATAAAGAACAAGCCCATAGGGAGAATTTTATTAAAATCAAGAGGAAAATGTGTCTTCAGTAATTTTCTTAATTATAGCAAAAAGTGGCATCACAGGGCAGAGGGCAAGGGACATAAAAATGCAACAGGAAGTGAACAGGACAGAAGGAGGACAAAGTAATAGCAAACCTCCACCAAGGCAGATCCCTGTACACCTAAAAGAAATATTCCCATGATAGTTTGACCCGCACAATATGATCAGTTGACCATGAGTTCAAGGTCAAAGTGTTTATTTGTCATATGCACAGTTAGGAAACGAGTTTCCCTGTACGATGAAATTCTTACTTTGCTGTCCACATGAATGCCACATAAAACAGGTGAAATATAAGGTAGATGAGCAATAACACAAATCTAAGGCACTTTAAAGCAGCAGGTGAAGGAAGCAAATAAAAATACAACAGGAACACAATATAATGCAGAGAGTGTGCAATTATGCATGAAAACCTACCCCTGGCATTTAGAATCCCATTAATATCATTATTAGTTTGAAAATGATTCAGGAAAAACTGATAGTTCACTAATGGTGGTTTTCTCTATAAACTAGCTCATTAACTTCTGAAGATATGTCAAATCTGTTGACACCCTACAAAGTCAGCAGGGTTTCAACTAGAATTTGATCTTAGTTTTGAGTCTGTAGCTTTAGTTCTTGTCTCACAGCAGCCAGTTTTCCATGAGCCCTCTAAATGTAAACATTCTGGATCACCACATCCAGAATTTTGGGTCCAGGTCAGACTTTGGTGTGTGTGAAATCTTATGTGGTTGTTATCATGCAATTTTTGTCCAAGCATTGTAGGCATTATGTGTAGCGTACATGTGGCCCTAGAAGCCTAAATACTGAAATTGGCCCTATCTTGCAATGGTGAAGAATCCTTTAAAAAATCTTGGATCTGAATGATGATCTGCATCAGCACCAAACTCTAATGGACTGTTCCGTGGGCCATACTCGCCCTTTCCAAAAAATTTCATCCAAAGCCATTCATTGCTTTTGGAATGAACAAACAAGCCAACAAACAAACAGCAACAAAACATTACCTTTGGTTTGGCAATGGTAATAAACAGAGCAGGTCAGCTGGGAAAGAAGGTACAACAAAAAGGAAAAGGGGGAATGAAAATGACACTACCAAAGATAAGCTGAGGTCACTTCACAGCTGTGAGGTCTAAGAGGTCCCTCTTCACCTTAAACATTCCTCTCTGCTAAATCTGCAACCTGCTGGAGGGGGTTGTTAACCTTCCATGTGTCCTCCTCAGCCATCCATCCAGCCATCCTGCCAGGCTTCGACCCCTGCCGGTCCCTGTGGTCATCATACCATTGTAATCGTGTTAAGTCAGTGATTACAGATGTCTCTCATCATGGAAGCAGACACAGTGCTGGTAAGACTCTGTCAAGCCAGCAAACAAAACACGCAAGGACAATTTTGCACACATGCACACTAATGCACCCATATACATGTACACATCAAAACAGCCTTGTCAAATGCAGACAAATCAGCCTCAAGTGGGCATTTCCCACAGGACAGAAAAAGACTAAACCTCAAACTGGGATCGAGGATGGCTCTAATCACTGAAGGAGATGGTGACTGAAAAGAATGCATTAATACTTAGTCACACCTCTGGGAAATGTCTGGGTCCTACAGTACGGAAATCCCCGGAACAGAGAGAAAATAACTGACTGAGCCACACATCACGGAAGCACAGATTCACACGCCCAGATACGGGTGAATATGCAGAGAGAATAACACGCTTTGCCTTCCTGTAATCGCAGCTTTTAGGGAACACCCCCATGGCAGTTTCTAGGCAGCTGAGAGAGGAAAGGAAGGGGAGAAGGTGTCATGGAAGTGAAGAGGAATTGCCGGGACGTGTGAAAGATGAGGATAGGTGCGCTGCTGCGGTGTGTGTGCACGGGCAGTGTTTGCCACTAGAAATTCTAAAAACAGCAACTGAAAGAGAGCTAAGAGAGGATTCTACCAGTAGTATCTTGAGACCAGAAATCGCCTTCATTCAGTGCAATAATGAAGGACAAAAATGGCCAGAGGCTAATGAGACACAAATGGCATCTGATAAATTAGCATTTCTTGGAAATAAGTAGGTGAACGGGTTCTTTCATGTCAACAGTCTAAGGAGGATGCTGTGGTTTACCTCACTCTGATTTTCACCCCCATTATTGCTCCCAGGGCAAATATACATTATGCAAAGTCTGCCAAACATGAAATGACCATCCAAGGCAACTCAATTCGGCAGGTTCATTTAAAAGAAGAGACGACAGCCCTTTTTGGAGGACTGCTGCTCACTTCATTTTCCTAATGCCATTCTTCCTGTCTTTGAGTGGCTGTGAGTGCCAAGCTTGCGCCTTCGTGATCAATGGACTGCTTCTGAAATCTTCCAAAAGTAACTGAATAAAA